CAACCTTCGGGTGGCATCGTTGTGGCACTGCAGGAGGCCCAGGATGGTTCCGCTGTACCCGGTGTGGCCTCCTCTACATCGGGGAAACCAAGCGGAGACTCGGGGACCGCTTTGCAGAACACCTACGCTCGGTTCGCAACAAACAACTGCACCTCCCAGTCGCGAACCATTTCAACTCCCCCTCCCATTCCTCAGACGACATGTCCATCCTGGGCCTCCTGCAGTGCCACAACGATGCCACCCGAAGGTTGCAGGAACAGCAACTCCTATTCCGCTTGGGAACCCTGCAGCCCAATGGTATCAATGTGGATTTCACAAGTTTCAAAATCTCCCCTCCCCCCACCGCATCCCAAAACCAGTCCAGCTCGTCCCTGCCTCCCTAACCTGTTCTTCCTCCCACCTATCCCCTCCTCCCACTTCAAGCCGCACCTCCATCTCCTACCGACCAACCTCATCCCGCCCCCTTGACCTGTCCGTCCTCCCTTGACTGACCTATCCCCTTCCTAACTCCCTACCTACACTCACCTTTCCTGGCCCCATCCCCGCCTCTTCGACCTGTTTGTTTCTTCTCCACCTATCTTCTCCTCTATCCCTCTTCTATCCGCCTCCCACTCTCTCCCTATTTATTTCAAAACCCCCTTCCCCTCCCCCTTTTCTGATGAAGGGTCTAGGCCCGAAACGTCAGCCTCTCTGCTCCTATGATGCTGCTTGGCCTGCTGTGTTCAAAAAAGCCAGTTGCTTTAGCCTTTGAAGCTCAGTGTCTCATTGACGAGACACAGCAGCAGCTGAAAGTGATGGAGTTTGGTTTTTAGAGCCTCGTACAAGAGAAGAGTAAGGGAGAGAGAGATAGTAGGAATTGCAGATGCTGGAGAATCCAAGACAACAAGGTGCAGAGCTGGATGAACACAGCAGGCCAAGCAGCATCATAGGAGCAGAAAGGCTGACGTTATGGGCCTAGACCCTTCATCAGAAATGGGGGAGGGGAAGGGGGTTCTGAAATAAGTAGGGAGAGCGGGGGAGGCGGATAGAAGGTGGATAGAGGAGAGGATAGGTGGAGAGGAAACAGGCAGGTCAAAGAGGCGGGGATGGAGCCAGTAAAGGTGAGTGTAGGTGGGGAGTTAGGGAGGGGATAGGTCAGTCCAGGGAGGATGGACAGGTCAAGGGGGCGGGATGAGGTTAGTAGGTAGGAGATGGGGGGTCGGGAGGAGGTTAGAGGAGAAGATAGGTGGAGAAGAAACAAACAGGTCGAAGAGGCGGGGATGGGGCCAGGAAAGGTGAGTGTAGGTAGGGAGTTAGGGAGGGGATAGGTCAGTCCAGGGAGGATGGACAGGTAAAGGGGGCGGGATGAGGTTAGTAGGTAGGAGATGGGGGTGCGGCATGAGGTGGGAGGAGGGGATAGGTGGGAGGAAGAACAGGTTAGGGAGGCAGGGACAAACTGGACTGGTTTTGGGATGCGGTAGGGGGAGGGGAGATTTTGAAGCTTGTGAAATCCACATTGATACCATTGGGCTGCAGGGTTCCCAAGCGGAATATGTTCCTGCAACCTTTGGGTGGCATCGTTGTGGCACTGCAGGAGGCCCAGGATGGACATGTCATCTGAGGAATGGGATGGGGAGTTGAAATGGTTCGCGACTGGGAGGTGCAGTTGTTTATTGCGAACCGAGCGTAGGTGTTCTGCAAAGTGGTCCCCGAGCCTCCGCTTGGTTTCCCCGATGTAGAGGAGGCCACAACGGGTACAGCGGATGCAGTATACCACATTGGCAGATGTGCAGGTGAACATCTGCTTGATGTGGAAAGTCTTCTTGGGGCCTGGGATAGGGGTGAGGGAGGAGGTATGGGGGCAGGTGTAGCAATTCCTGCGGTTGCAGGGAAAAGTGCCGGGTGTGGAGCGGACAAGGGAGACATGGAGAGAGTGGTCCCTCCAGAAAGCAGATAGGGGTGGGGAGGGAAAGATGTCTTTGGTGGTGGGGTCGGATTGCAGATGGCGGAAGTGTCAGAGGATGATGCGTTGGATCCGGAGTTTGGTGGGGTGGTACATGAGGACGAGGGGGATTCTTTTTTGGTTCTTATTGCGGGGACGGGGTGTGAGGGATGAGTTGTGGGAAATGTGGGAGACACGGTTGAGGGCGTTCTCGACCACTGAGGGGGGGAAGTTGCGGTCCTTGAAAAACGAGGACAACTGAGATGTACGAGAGTGGAATGCCTCATCCTGGGAGCAGATGCGGCGGAGGCGAAGGAATTGGGAATAGGGGATGGCACTTTTGCAGGAAGGTGGGTGGGAGGAAGTGTATTCTAGGTAGCTGTGGGAGTCGGTGGGCTTGAAATGGATATCTGTTTCTAGTGGTTGCCCGAGATGGAGACAGAGAGGTCCAGGAAGGAGAGAGAGGTATTAGAGATGGTCCAGGTGAACGTAAGGTTGGGGTGGAAGGTGTTGGTGAAGTGGATGAACTGTTCGAGCTCCTCGTGGGAGCACGAGGCGGCGCCAATATAGTCATCAATGTAACGGAGAAAGAGGTGGGGTTTAGGGCCAATGTAGGTATGGAAGAGGGATTGTTCCACATAACCTACAAAGAGGCAGGCGTAGCTTGGACCCATGCGGGGACCCATGGCCACCCCCTTTGTCTGTAGGAAGTGGAGGAATTGAAAGAAAAGTTGTTGAGGGTGAAGACGAGTTCGACTAAGCGGATGAGGGTGTCAGTGGAGGGGGACTGGTCGGGCCTGCAGGACAGGAAGAAGCGGAGGGCCTTTAGGCCATCTGTATGGGGAATGCAGGTGTATAGGGACTAGACGTCCATGGTAAAGATGAGATGTTGGGGACCGGGGAATTGGAAGTTCTGGAGGAGGTGGACGGCGTGGGTGGTGTCACGGACATAGGTAGGGAGTTCCTGGATCAAGGGGGAGAAAATGGAGTAAAGATAGTTGGAGATAAGTTCGGTGAGGCAGGAGCAGGTGGAGACAATGGGTCGACCAGGGCATTCAGGTTTGTGGATTTTGGGAAGGAGATAGAAGCGGATTTCACAAGCTTCAAAATCTCCCCTCCCCCTACCGCATCCCAAAACCAGTCCAGCTCGTCCCCGCCTCCCTAACCTGTTCTTCCTCCCACCTATCCCCTCCTCCCACCTCAAGCCTCACCCCCATCTCCTACCTACTAACCTCATCCCGCCCCCTTGACCTGTCCGTCCTCCCTGGACTGACCTATTTCCTCCCTACCTCCCCACCTACACTCACCTTTACTGGCTCCATCCCCGCCTCTTTGACCTGTCTGTTTCCTCTCCTCCTATCCTCTCCTCTATCCATCTTCTATCCGCCTCCCCCTCTCTCCCTATTTATTTCAGAACCCCCTTCCCCTCCCCCATTTCTGAAGAAGGGTCTAGGCCCGAAACGTCAGCCTTTCTGCTCCTATGATGCTGCTTGGCCTGCTGTGTCCATCCAGCCCTGCACCTTGTTGTCTAGGAGAGTAAGGGAGACTGCTCAAGTAGGTAAGAGCCTATCTGGAATCAAGAGCAGTTTGGGAAATGGGATCCCAAATTGGCTTAGTGACCAAAGACAGAGGGTGATGGTCAAAGTCTGTTTTTGTGACCAGAAACATGTGTTGATTGGCAGACCACAAGGTTTGGTGCTGGGACCCGTGCTGTAATGCACATTAATGCTCTATACATAAAAGTAAGAGGTTTGATTGGCAAATTTACAAGATTACAGGATGATACGATAGGTGGGCTGGTCAACACAATAGCAAGTGAACCTTGGACCAAGAGAAAAGTAGGTCTTTTCTGAACTTCTATTCCGTCCCACTGTCAGAGATGTCATTTTAAACTCATTTTGCAGATTATTAGAAGTTGAGAAACCCAAAGACAATGTTGCGTCAAAATTTGACAGAATCAGTCATTTCACCAGGAACTGGACATTATCACCTTTGAGTGTAAGCATTGCATTTCAGATCATTACTAACCATTGTATGTAATTTCTCCCTCACATCCTCCTGTTTGATTTGTCCAGAATCTAAATGTCTGTACTGTAATCCTTTTAGAATCAGTCAATGGAAGCAACATTTCTTTATCTGCTTTATCTAAACCTATCATAAAGCTGGGCATTTTGTTCAAATCATCCCTCAATATACTTTGCTTGAAGAACAACCCTAGATCCTCCAATATAACCTTTGAAAATGAAAACAAGCAGCAGTGGTCACAGTGGCGAGAAGCCGTGGAAATGTGGAGACTGGGTGTGTCAGCTAGAAACTCACAGTCACAGTGGGGAGAGACGGTTCACCAGGTCTGAGTACGGGAAGGGATTCACTCATTCATCCAAGCTAATTATACACTAGAAGGTTCACAGTGACAAGAGAGACTTTAAATGTTCCGACTATGGAAAGAGCATCAAAAAACCAGTTTACGCTGATGGAGATAACAAGGTGTAGAGCTGGATGAACACAGCAGGCCAAGCAGCATCATAGGAGCAGGAAGGTTGACGTTTCGGGCCTAGACCCTTCTTCAGAAAATGGCTGATGGAGCACAAGCGAGTTCGCACTGGGATCACCATACAGCTGCTCACAGTGTGGGAAGAAAATCCGAGTGTGGGAAGTACTTTAAAATTTTACAGGATCTGAAGTCCCATCAACATTGTCACTCTGATGACAGACCATTCAGGTGCTCTTAGTGTGGGACTGGGTTCAAGAGATCATCTGAGTTCACTGAACAACAGTGAATTCACACTGGGGAGAGACCATTTACCTGTCCTAAGTGTGGGAGAGGACTTACCCGATTATCTATTGTGAAGAAATACCAGCAAGTTCACACTGACGAAAGAACTTTTAAATGGCTAGTCTGCAGCAAGTGCTACAAACTGTCTCACCTCCCTAACCTGTCCTTCCTCCCACCTATCCCCTCCTCCCACCTCAAGCCCCACCCCCATCTCCTACCTACTAGCCTCATCCTGCCCCCTTGACCTATCCCCTCCCTAACTCCCCACCTACACTCACCTTTAGTGGCTCCATCCCCGCTTCTTTGACCTGTCTGTCTCTTCTCCACCTATCTTCTCCTTTATCCATCTTCTATCTGCCTCCCACTCTCTCCCTATTTATTTCAGAACCCCCTTCCCCTCCCCCATTTCTGAAGAAGGGTCTAGGCCCGAAACAGCAGGAAAGCTGACCCTCTGATGCTGCTTGGCCTGCTGTGTTCATCCAGCTCTATACCTTGTTGTGTCTGAGGAACTGATGGTCCATCAACATGTTCTGACAAGAGACCCTTCAGGTGCTCTGAGTGTGGGACTGAGTTCAAGCGATTGCTTAACCTGTTGAGACACTAGCACAATCACACTGGGGAGAGACCATTCCTCTGCTCTGAGTGTGGGAAGGGATTCACTTATTCACCCAGCCTATAGAACCATGAGCAAATTCACACTGGGGAGAGGCCAGTCACCTGCTATAAGTGTGGGAAGGGATTCATTTGTTCACCTGAGCTGAACAAACATCAGCAGATTCACAGTGACGAGAGACCCTTTAAATGCCCAGACTGCAGGAAGTGCTACAAGTGGTTTAAATGTTCCAAGTGTGGAAAGAGCTTTAAAAACCCGTCTCACGCTGACTGAGCACAAGCTAGTTCACGTTGCGGGAACCTAATACACCACTAACATGTTCACACGGACAAGAGATGGTTCAGGTGCTCTCAGTGCCGGACTGGGTTCAGGCGATCATCTGACCTCTCTATACACCAGTCAGTTCACACTGGGGAGAGGCTGTTCAGCTGCTTCGAATGTGGGAAGGAATTTTAAAAATTGTGCAACCTGCTGAGACACCAGCAAGTTCACCAGGAGCAGCAGGGGTTGGAGCTGGCTGTTGCTGCTGATGTTAATCACATCCAGGACTGAGCCATCTACATTCTGACATTCATTCAGTCCGGGTTTATTTCTGATGGCAGGTGCGCCTGTTAGTTTGCAATACCCCATTCCATCTCTCACTCTCGTGTGAATGGATCATTCAACCTGCAATTGTTTTTCATTTTCAATCCACTCAATAAATGTATTGAGCTGAAAGTGAATAAGCCCCATCCAGCAACTCGAGATTGACATGAAGTCATCTGTTCTGTCACTTGAGGAAGAGGCTGTGTCAGCTCTGAATGTAGCTACTCTCATCTGGAGACCTGAGCTCATTGAAAGATATCTTCCTCATAGCTATGAGCTTGTCAGATGTTGAAAGAATTCCTGTTAAGTGATCCTCATGAATTGATCACCTCACACTGTGGTCCCTGCTGTTATGAATACTCAGGCTCCATTCGTGCTGATTTACAGTGAATCACTGACTAACCTGTGGATTCTTTGTTCCTTGTTTCTTGAAGTCTTTGTCTCCATAAGTGCTGAACTGCCAGATAATATATTCACACATCTCGGCACAGAGTCACAGAAACTGGAAATTGTAACCAATAAACAGACTTGTAGTTTGGTACCTTGGTGATTTATTCAGGAGGATTTTTTTTCACTCATTTCAGCAGCTGGAGACATTTGGACTGAAATTGAATGAACATCAGAAAAAAATACCAGCAATAAGCCATTCAGCCCTTTGAGCCTGCTGTGCCATTCAGTTTAATGATAGTAGATCTTCTAGCTCAGATCCATATTCCCACATCCCTTAATTTTCTTCATACCCAAAATTCCATTAATCTCTGTCTTAAATATAATTCACAACAGAATAGCTTCCTGGGGGAGAGAATTCCGCAGATTCCCAACCATCTGATTGAAAATATTCCTCCTCATCTCCATCCAAAATTGTCCGCCCATATCCTGAGATTGAAACCCCCTGTGTCATGGACTCATCAGCAAAGGGAATCACATTCTTAGGATCCATCCTGTTAGTCCCTTTGATAAAATTACATTTCACTTTGATAAACTCTGCTTTCTGCTGGCTGGACAATCTGCTCATCCTAGGATCATGTCTCATGAACATTTGGTATCCCATGGACAACCCTCCTTCTCATCCACACTTCCTTGACCTGACACCACCTGACCATCTTCTTTCGCACCTATCTGGCCCACCCTTCCCACTGACCAATCCCCACAACCCCTACCTGCATCCACCTATCACCATCCCACCTACCTTCCCCCTCCTCCCTCTATTTATTTCCCAGCTCCCTTCCCCCTCCCCAGGCCTGATGAGGGGTCCACGCCCGAAACATCGACACTCCTGCTCCTCTGACGCTGCTTGATCTGCTGTGTTCCTCCAGGTCCACACTGTATTGAGTGAAGAAGCATCATGTCTGAAGGAGGCAAAGGGCTGGGAAAAGGCGGCACCGCCAAGTGCTCCATGATAGCAAGCAGGCATCACGAAAGTAGCCATCCAGCGTCTGGCTCGCCGTGGCGGGGTCAAGCGCATCTCGGGCTTGATCTACGAGGAGAGCTGCGGGGTGCTGAAGGTTTTCCCGGGGAATGTGATCAGGAATGCGGTCACCTGCACTGAACACGCCAAGCGCAAGGCGGTCACTTGCATGGATGTGGTGTACGCTCTGAAACGCCGGGGCTGCGCTCTCTGTGGATTCGGCGCCTGAACAAATCGACCCTTTTCCAGCCAATCCAAAGGCTCTTTGCAGAGCCTCCCAAACCCTCCCATTGCGAGCCGAGACCTGAGAATGGGGTAGGCAGAACACAGGGAGGGTATAACGTCCTGCAACTGGCTGTATCATCTGTAATATATCACATCACAACTTGTAATTCTGCACAGACACTAATGTTACATATTGCAGTATTTGTATCAACCCTTCCAGGAATGTGACTTTGTTCAGTTCTGATTCTGGGTCCCCTGCCGATGTTTTAATGGCGTGTTCTTCCCATCTGCCTGTTACACATAGCGCAGGCAGCAATTACAAACTGTGTACGGCCTCAATATAACCTGAGTGAAATAAAAACCTACGAATGATGTGAGATTCTGTAACTTTGTCAGCGGACACTGCATTAGTAATTAAGATGTTTAAATAGGCCGGGTTGTTTCGATTGATTAATGGCACTTATACGCTAAATTGTTCAGTTACTAGTGGTGTACCTCAAGGATCTGTTTTGGGGCCACTGCTGTTTGTCATTTTTATAAATGACCTGGATGAGGGCGTAGAAGGATGGGTTAGTAAATTTGCGGATGACACCAAAGTCGGTGGAGTTGTGGATAGTGCGGGAGGATGTTGCAGGTTACAGAGGGACATAGATAAGCTGCAGAGCTGGGCTGAGCGGTGGCAAATGGAGTTTAATGCGGAAAAGTGTGAGGTGATTCACTTTGGAAGGAGTAACAGGATTACAGAGTACTGGGCTAATGGTAAGATTCTTGGTAGTGTGGATGAGCAGAGAGATCTCCGTGTCCATGTGCATAGATCACTGAAAGTTGCCACTCAGGCTGATAGCATTGTTAAGAAGGCGTACGGTGTGTTAGGTTTTATTGGTAGAGGGATTGAGTTTCGGAGCCATGAGGTCATGTTGCAGCTGTACAAAACTCTGGTGCGGCCGCACTTGGAGTATTGCATACAGTTCTGGTCACTGCATTATAGGAAGGATGTGGAAGCATTGGAAAGGGTGCAGAGGAGATTTGCCAGGATGTTGCCTGGTATGGAGGGAAGGTCTTATGAGGAAAGGCTGAGGGACTTGAGGCTGATTTCGTTAGCGAGAAGAAGGTTAAGAGGTGACTTAACAGAGACATACAAGATGATCAGAGGATTAGATAGGGTGGACAGTGGGAGCCTTTTTCCTCCGATGGTGGTGGCTAAGCACGAGGGGACATAGCTTTAAATTGAGGGGTGATGGATATAGGACAGATGTCAGAGGTAGGTTCTTTACTGAGAGAGTAGTAAGGGCATAGAATGCCCTACCTGCAAAAGTAGTAGACTCGCCAACTTTAAGGGCATTTAAATGGTCATTGGATAAACATATGGATGATAATAGAATAGTGTAGGTTAGATGGGCTTCAGATTGGTTTCACAGGTCGGCACAACGTCGAGGGCCGAAGGGCCTGTACTGCGCTGTAATGTTCTATGTTCTATGTTCAGTTTCTCTGGGCTGTTTTAAAACCTACACATTTCCCCTGCCTTTTACAGACAGATCAGGTAATTTAATCTCAGCATTTGTTGAAATTGACAAACTGTCATTTCATGTTTATCAATCAGTCTACAATAATTATTTTCCTGTCTTTTCTGAGCCTTCCGGGGCTGTCCCTTTGTGGGTTGAGGGATGGGGCTGTATCCAATCCCAGCTCTAGGGCGGGCTGTCCATTCCCTTTAACTGGCAGCACCACAGTAGTGTCAGCAGTAATAGCAGGTGTGTGTGTGTGTTGTGAAGCGAAGCGAAGCGAATCGAATGCAAATCCACCGGTGGGAATGCTCCTGGCAGCGGCCCGCAAGAGCGTTCCGGCCTCAGGCGGAGTGAAGAAACCTCACCGCTACAGGCCCGCTACGGTGGCTCTGCAGGAAATCGGCCGCTACCAGAAATCCACCAACTGCTGATCTGCAAACTGCCCTTGCAGCGCCTGGTGCGGGAGATCGCTTACGACTTCAAGACCGACCTGCGCTTCCAGAGGTCGGCCGTGATGGCCCTGCAGGAGGCCAGCGAGGCTTACCTGGTGGGGCTGTTTGAGGATACCAACCTGTGTGCCAAGCAAGTCACTATCATGGCCCAAAGACATCCAGCTGGCCCGCCGGATCTGCAAGGACTGTGCCCGGCCCTGCATATTAACCCTGAGAAACACAACGCCTCTTTTCAGAGCCACTAACCTATCTAGAGAGAGCAGTAATTGATAAGGGACATTCGTTTCCTCACTATAAACCCATGATTTGCTCTTGTTGCACTGCGTAATCTAGCTGTTATTAAAGGTACTGAATCTAGCTGAGTCACTTTATTGGGAGTTTTCTATAGACCCCCAATAGTAACAGAGATACCGAGGAACAGATTGGGAGGCAGATTTTGGAAAGGTGCAGAAGTAATAGGTTTGTTGTCATGGGTGACTTCAACTTTCCTAATATAGAGTGGAACCTCCTTAGTGCAAATAGTTTGGGTGAAACAGTTTTTGTCAAGTGTATCCAGGAAGGATTTCTGACTCAGTACTAGACAGGCCGACTAGAGGGGAGGCCATATTGGATTTGGCGCTTGGCAACTAACCAGGCCTGGTGTCAGATCTCTGGGTGGGAGAGCATTTCAGTAATAGTGATCACAACTCCCTGACCTTTACTATAGTCATGGAGAGGCATAGGAGCAGACGGGATGTGATTGTATTTAATTGGGGGAGGGGGAATTACAATGCTATTAGGCAAGAACTGTGGAGCATAAATTGGGATCAGATGTTCTCAGGGAAATGCACGACAGAAATGTGGAGGTTGTTTAGGGAGCAGTTGCTACGAGTACTGGATAGGTTTGTGCCACTGAGGCAAGGAAGGGATGGTAAGGTGAAGGAACCTTGGATGATGAGACATGTGGAACATCTAGTCAAGAGGAGGAAGAAGAAAGCTTACTTAAGGCTGAGGAGCAAGGATTGGACAGGGCTCTAGAGGTCTACAAGGTAGCCAGGAAGGATCTGAAGAATGGACTTAGGAGAGCTAGAAGGAGGTATGAGAAAACCTTGGCGGGTAGGATCAAGGAAAACCCCAAGGTGTTCTATGCTTATGTGAGGAACAAGAGGATGGCCAGCATGAGGGTAGGCCAATCAGGGATAGTGGTGGGAACTTGTGCACAGAGGCGGAGGAGGTAGGAGGGGTCTTTAATGAATACTTTGCTTCAGTATTCACCAGTGAGAGGAACCTTGACGTTTTGTGAGGACAGGATGAAACAGGCTGATATGCTCGAACAGGTTGATGTTAGGAAGGAGGATGTGCTAGAAATTTTGAAAAACGTGAGGATAGACAAGTCCCCTGGGCCAGACGGGATATACCCAGGGTTGCACTGGAAGCGAGGAAGAGATTGCTGCACCTTTAGCAATGATCTTTGCATCCTCACTGTCCACTGGAGTTGTACCAGATGATTGAAGAGTGGCAAATGTTATTCCCTTGTTGAAGAAAGGGAATAGGGATAATCCTGGGAATTACAGACCAGTCAGTCTTACTTCTGTGGTGGGCAAATTATTGGAGAGGATTCTGAAAGATTATTTATGATTATTTGGAAAAACACAGTTTGATTAGAGATAGTCAGTGTGGCTTTGTGAGGAGCAGGTCATGCCTCACAAGCCTTATTGAATTCTTTGAGGATATGACAAGAGACATTGAAGGTCGAGCTGTGGGTGTGGTGTATATGGATTTTAGCAAGGCATTTGATAAGGTTCCCCATGGTAGGATCATTCAGAAAGTTAGGAGGCATTGGATTCAGGGAAATTTGGCTGTCTGGATACAAAATTGGCTGTCCAATGGAAGACAGAGGGTGGTATTATTTGGAAAGTATTCAGCCTGGAGCTCAGTGACCAGTGGTGTTCCGTAGGGATCTGTTCTGGGGCCCCTGCTCTTGGTGATCTTAAGAAATGACTTGGATGAGGAAGTGGAAGGGTGGGTTAGTACGTTGCCGATGACACAAAGGTTGGTGGAGTTGTGGACAGCATGGAGGGCTGTTGTAAGTTGCAACGGGACATTGACAGAATGCAGAGCTAGGCAGAGAAGTAGTAGATGGAATTCAACCCGGAAAAGTGTGAAGTGATTCATTTTGGAAGGTCGAATTTGAGTGCAGAATACAGGGTTAATGGCAGGATTCTTGGCAGTGTGGAGGAACAGAGGGATCTTAGGGTCTACATCCACCAATCTCTCAAAGTTACTACCCAAGCTGATAGGGTTGTTAAGAAGGCATATAATGTGTTGGCTTTCATTGGCAGGGGAATTGAGCTTAAGAGCCACAAGGTTATGCTGCAGCTCTATTAAACCCTAGTTAGACCACACTTGGAATATTGTGTTCAGTTGTGGTCACCTCATTATGGGAAGGATGTGAAAGCTTTAGAGAGGGTGCAGAGGAGATTTACCAGGATGCTGCCTGGACTGGAGGGCAGTCTTTCCTCTTGTGAGGAAAGTTTGAGGAAGCGAGGGTTTTTTTTTCTTTTGGAGCAAAGAAGAATGAGAGGTAACTTGCACAAGATAATGAGAGGCATAGATAGAGTAGATACCCAGAGACTTTTTCCCAGGGTAGAAATGACTGTTTACAAGGGGACATAATTTTAAGGTGATTGGAGGAAGGTATAGGGGAGATGTCAGAGGTAGGTTCTTTTCACAGAGAGTGGTTGGTACATGGAATGAGCTGCCGGCAGTGGTAGTGGAGTCAGATATTTTAGGGACATTTAAGTGACTCTTGGATAGGCACATGGATGATAGTATAATGTAGGGTATGCAGTGTAGTTTGATCTTAGAGTAGGATAATAGGTCAGCACAAAATTGTGGGCCAAAGGGCCTGTACTGTGCTATACTGTTCTGTGTTCTAAGTGCGTAGGGGCTGAAAAATGGAAAAATCGCAGGCAGCGGAGGTGAAGTTATAAATAATACGATCTTAACAGTGACTGCAGAATATATTCTGTAATATAATGTTAAAATTATATACTACTCTAATATTAATGTACTGGTTTATAAATTCCCAATAAAACCCCACTCTGCTCATTGTCTCCCTTGGCATTACTCCAGCTTAATTATGGACATAGCGAAGAAGGAGCATGGAAAATAATTGTATCATCGATAGCCATGGGTGAGGTGCCAGAAGACTGGAGGGTGGCTAATGTGGTGCCATTATTTAAGAAAGGTGGTAAGGAAAAGCTAGGGAGCTATAGACCAGTGAGCTTGGTGTCAGTAGTGGGTAAGTTGTTGGAGGCAATTCTAAGGATAGGATTTACATGTATTTGAAAGGCAAGGACTGATTAGGATTAGTCAATACAACTTTGTGTGTAGAAAATCATGTCTCATAAACTAACAAAATTTTTGAAGTGATAATAAAGGCAAAGCAGTGGACGTTGTCAAAATGAACTTCCACAAAGCGTTCGACACAGTTCCCCATGGTAGACTGGTTAGCAAGGTTAGATCACATGCAATCCAGGGAGAGCGTACCACTTCGATACAAAATTGGCGTGGAAGTAGGAAACACAGGGTAGTGATGGAGGAGGGTTGTTTTCCCTGTAGAGGGCAGTGTATCGGGAGTCTGCATTCAGCTGTCATTGGAGCTTGGAGTGGCAACATCGGTTGCAATTGAGAGCAGCTGGAGCTGGTTGAGGCCTAGAGTCTGGAGGCATTTGAACCTTGGATTTTGCCTTGCTACTGCATTTGGACGCCTGCATTTCTCTTTGAGTTGAATACTACTGCTCTGGGGAGAAGCAGCTGCAGATTGAGGCCTGGGACCTTGGCTGCTGTTGCTCTGAGAAACATGGTGGCCTGCACTTCTATTTGGCCAGTGCCTGGGATGCTTGTTCCTGGAGCTTGGACTACAACCAGTCAGGGGATTCAGGGCTGGACACTAATTGCTTGGGGCCTGAACACTTACAGTGAGCGAGAGATAGTAGGAACTGCAGACGCTGGAGAATCCGAGACAACAAGGTGCAGGGCTGGATGAACACAGCAGGCCAAGCAGCATCATAGGAGCAGAGAGGCTGACGTTTCGGGCCGAGACCCTTCATCAGAAAAGGGGGAGGGGAAGGGGGTTCTGAAATAAATAGGGAGAGAGTGGAAGGCGGATAGAAGATGGATAGAGGAGAGGA